GCATCCCCTTAAAATGCTTTATGAGCACAAATAAAAAAAATAGGGGTCAAATATTTTTGGAAGTTGTACAAGTGTGCAAAGTTTCAAAGAAAATCGGCGTGTAACACTTGGGTAGTGTTACTTGTTAGCTCAATAAATGCGTCTAGTTTAATAATAAGACATAAATAATATGTTGAAATGCCAAAGAATTTTTTCTGCGAATGACGTCGAAGGACAGTTTAAAATCCGTCGCTGCTCTCATAAATATTATAAAGCGGGTATATATATTACATATTAGTTATATTCGCAAGTTATAAGCCTATTCGCCGTTGTCGTCGGTTTCCATTCTCCGCGGCGCGTAAGGATAACTCATTTATTTTCTCGGCTATGACGTTACAAAGCGAGGCGTTGCCGAGGCGGCGCGCGATTGCGTAATGTGATATCGAGATCGAGAACCAGCCTCTGGCCGGACGGAAATAATGGAGGTGTGTCACCGAGGTTCGCGACCGCTCTTCGGCGTTTCTCTATGATATTCGTCGATCGATTAGTATACCGGATCCACATTAGACATGAATGCGAGCTCGAGCGTGTCGAAAAACCGCCTGGCTCTGGTTTCACGCACGGGCGATTTCGCGCGCGTGAGAAAAGCTGGTTGATGCAATTTACATCCGACGTGTCATCGATACAAGCGTGTGCCTACGGTGCGATAACCCCTGAAAATACCATATTTATTTGACCAATGCAGTCCAGAATACGAGATCTCGGCCGATTATTCGCTATCCAATTTGAAATACTCGACCTAATGGCGCCTAACGTAAACATTTAAATTCTCGAATTACTCTGTTTCTCGTGTTCCATTAAGGTTTCCGATTTGTGAATTATTTCTTCCTTACTTTGCATAGATCTTTTCACTGTTATATCTCTTCTACTTCTACTCTCAATACACCTGAGATATTTATATCGATTTTACTTATATTGCGATATTTTTATATATGATCCAATAAAAATTTTTCCTGCTGCATTTGTTGTTTTTGTTTTATTTTTGTACTTTCTAAAAAATAAGATTTTTTCAGGAAAAATCTATACGTATAGAACTGCCGTGAGTCGCCTTTTCGCTTTTCTCAAGAAATGAGTAAACGTATTTTTCATATCCAGTTTCCATCTACGGGTTTCTCTCCTCCTCCCTTTTTCTAGATTGCACAGCCGCCTAAATTATTACAAATTTAATATACATTTAAATTTATTAAATATATTTTTTAACATAATATAACTCAGTATTTTGATGATATACATATAATTATTTTATTATTTTGCTCCAAGGTTAAAGCTACAATAGACGCATGCTCAACGCGGAGTGAAATAATAGCGCAACAGATGTAATGGTTTGCAATAAAACATCTCGTGAGTAATGCGGAGTTTATGAAAGTATCGTCAAAGCATCGAAATATCCTTGAAAGTTAAGTCGATTAAGTCGACCGTTAGACAACGGATTTTTACTTTTTGCACAATATCACATGACAGTTTTTATTTCTATTCGTGTTTCAGCATAGAAACAGATCGTTTCCCTAATAAGCACATAAATCGCTACTTATGTACACTTATCGTTGTCGTTATTTGACGAAACATGGTAATAATGTAAAAGCGCAACGGGGCTTATCAAACCAGTCATTAGTCTTACATTTAATAACCATATTTTATATATTTTATATATCATATTTATATTATAGCGAACTATTAGTGCAAAACTTGTATCAAAGTACCAAATAATGCGTAATAATTTTTATTAATTTTCTTAACAAAGAGTAACAAATAACGAACAGAATAATTAATTTATCTTAATAACAAGCCATTAAATTTATGAGATAATAATAAAACATGTAATGCAACCCTTTTATTTAACTCGAAATTGTAATACCATCACAGCAGTATAGATACACATCTTGATGGACAATTCAGTTACCTAACTGTAATGCGTTAAGCATTAATCAATATCAATCCTAACACGTGCACCGGATAATGAGATCAATCAAAATTGGCATTAGATTAGCGAATTAACTACGCCCCGTTCAAAGACACCTAAACCGGACATGCGAGCGATTGTGTGACATTCCACTACAAATTGCACTTATTTAAAGATCTCACGAGCACGAGCCCGGTGTTAAGTAATCGTAGGGGCAAAACCAAGTCTTTTTCGAATAGCATGTTCAATATCCCTATCATTATCCCGTTGTCACGCAATAGTACATGCAAATTAACCTTGCTTTGGGAAAGAAATAGCAGAACGCAATCATTCTGGACAGTTGGAGGACGGGCGTTATGGTAAAATTGCTTGTATTAAATTTATTGTGCGTGTGGCATTTAATTACACGTGATACTAAGTTGTACAGTATATATTTAAGGAGCTCTTAAAAATGCAGAATTCAAAGTGTCTAGTATTAATGTCGAACTGCATATTGATTCTTAAATCGTGTTATTATAGTAATAATACAGTTAATAAACACCACGGGGAAAAACTGAGCAATTAAAAGATTGAGGACTGGTGTAAATTAAGATTAATAAATGACGCGCCAAGGAAATATACAGTGATAAATTTTCACAAAAATTAAGCAGGAAAAAGCAACAGTTAAGTAGTATAAAAACGTCGCTAACGGCCCGACAACTTAAACTGCCGCTCGTAAAATAAATAAATGACTTCTGGTGGTGTTCGGAGAGTGCTTTAAGAGAGATAAATGAATATTAAACCAGGAAACGTTTGTTTGGGCGTAGCGAAACGATAGGGGGCCCATTCTGCGTGCCAACGTGATAAACCTAATCGCCTTATGTCAACTTAGGAATGTTACAAGGTATTTGTCGCTATGCCGTGATTTAGACAATTCACCGTTGCTATCTCTGTGACTAATGGAATGTATTTTCTCATGGTAAGAAATTGATCGCAATTCAATACATGTAAGAAAATTCAAAGGAAGTTAAAATTAATTTGACGAAACATTGATCTTATTGAATTTCATAAATCTGCGTTACTGTATTATCTAAGAAAAAGTTTTGTCTATCAAAGTATACGAGAACTTCATAAATATCTACGTGATCGTTCAAGGATAATTTTCTTTTTTCTTCACGGAGTGATGAAGGCGATTCCTTCGCAAATAATGATTAAGGTTCTCGTTTCGAAACGCAGATGCGAGGTGTCCGGTGAGACTTACGGCGGACGTGAGAATAACTAACAATTAATTTCTCAGGAATAAGGGATTGCCTATAAATCAATCGGCAGGCAGGGATAAGATCGCCATAGATCAATCAGCCGACGGTCCATGCCGTTAATGGTGATTTTTGCAGGCATAAAACCAACATATCAGTCTCGCAGATGGCAATGATAGTGCCTGCGGAATTGCTACCTTGTGGACAATCTGCATCTCGTACGGTGGGCGCGTAACGTAATAATAGTGCACCGTAATAGAAGACACTGCGTTCCTCACAACGCATGATTTATATTAGCGCGGCGAGCTAGCTGCTTTATGCGTGATGAAGTATTGAGCAATCTTGCGCAAACCGACACAGCCGCCGGACACGGGCGAGAATAAATTCATGTGTTATAATTGGTGCTACGCGTGCATTAGTGGGAAATTCGTTACTTCGCACCCATATATTATCGTGTTGCATTCTAAATATAAAAGATATTTCATAACAGAAAGATTAGAGCTATGTGAAACACACGCGCGCGCGCGCACGCAAAATTCAAAAATATTTCGTTTGTATGTTTTATTATACATTTTATTCTTTATTAAAAAACATTGCAATTATAATTTTGCTCTATAGCAAGTCGGCTGTTTCAAATTAATTAAAAAATATATACCATCGTGTTGCATTCAATTGTAAATCTTCACAATTTATCAAACCGTTCGTTCATTGTACTGGCATTAGGGGAATGTCTTTTTGTCATTATTTTTATATTCATTTATTTACTGCTTATGTTTTCTGTTAAAATTCAATACGCCAGAAATTCTTTTCAATTTTTAATTTGCATTACGATAAATTCCAAGTAAACTTTAGTTAAATAATTAAAATCACGCCACGTCTTCGATTTTTGTCGAGAAAAACGTCTGTGCTCGATCTTAAAGTCTACAGTAAAACAGAAGTCCAGTAATTGCAATTATGTGCGAGTTTGGAGATAGAAATATTAAAAAATCGAATCTCTCAAATCCCATTAAATTTCGTAACGAACAGCTTCAACGACTGCGAGGAGACGAACTGTTGTAACGCCGATCGCTAACGAGTATCCTGCGATTTTTCAATGACATTCGTGTGACATCACGATTGAGGTAGATCTCCCGGCGGGTAGAAAAATAATCTCGTTAAGGTTGTGGCATCTAAACGCACTCACATATGCACGCATATCTGCATAAAGTGGTGGCCAAGCGCGCGCTCCATTTACCAACGGCGGCTCGTGTACGTTTAGCGTGTTATACAATCGTTGCACATTATGTGTTATAACATACATACATCTGTGTGCAGTATATCGTGGGTAAATAGCGTTAGAGGTTCTAGGTAGGTGTGGCGATAGACCGGCCGTTGGCTTCCCTCGCCTTTGGCGGGGCGCAGGGTGCGCGAAATGAAAGTCAATTCCCTATATAAAGGGTGGTTTTCCAGCCCGACAACGACAGAAACCGATCTATTTTACTCACGCGCGAGTATCACGCCAAAGTATCGTTCAACATGAGGGCCCTGGTACGTGCTGTCACATCCTCGAGCGAAGTTAACGAAGCAGTGCTGAGATCCGTTTAATTCTGCCGAGAGCATTTTCGTTCGGACACAATGCTTAATCAGATCGAAGTTTAGGAGCTGATCTCATTTTTCTACGCTTTTTCGTGCTTTGTCATGGTGTTCCTTTTGCATAATCGCAAAGCTTAACATCAAAATTGGCAAGATCTATTATTTGTGTGAAGTTTAAATCCCGTGCAAAGATCTTCTAATTTTTTTTATTGATTCTCAATTTTGTGATAATTGGCAATTTTTAAAAATTTGTTAATATTATGTCGTGTATACCAATTGATTCATATACAGTTATCTATTTCAACAATGATTAAACTACAATGCATTATTAATCATGCCTTATTCTTTACGATTTTACACTTGATTCAGTATCTCGAGTAATTTTCTCAAGTTTATTCATTTTTATTCTAAGTTGGATAGGTCAATTAATTTTAAATTGAACAGATATTTTAATAACAGTTATTCCTACAGATCACGATAAACTTATTTATCCATTTGCCACTTAGATTTTTACTTGAAAATTTTGTAATGACATGTTTTTGATTTTAAAAAATGAAGAAGTGCAGATCAGTTTTAATAACTATTCGTCATTCTAAGAATTACCCATTAAATTTGTGCTTATTAATATTAACTTTTATAGATATCTCGATCAACTAACAGGGATTAGCGGATCTTGAGGAACTTTTTATTGATGTTCCTTTCTTTTGCAGATCTGCCTGGCGCTGATCTCTGCGGCGTTCGCCGCCGAAGAGAAAACGGTCCAGAAGCGTGGCTTGGTCGGCCTGGGTGACTACGGTGGATATGGTGGATACGCTGGATACGGCGGACTCGGTGGATACGGTGGATACGGTGGATACGGTGGACACGGTGGATATGGTGGATACGGTGGTCTTGGGCTTGGCCTTAGCGGCTATGGTGGATACGGGGGTGGACACGGCGTCGTCGTCAAGGAGAAGGCTGTTGCTGTTCCCGTCGCCGTCCCACAGCCGGTCCCCGTCGATCGCCCCTACCCTGTTAAGGTATGAGATAATCAGTTTTATTTTTGTATGTGGTATCGCGACAAATAATAATAATACACTGAGAAAAATTTTCATCGGATAAACCAATTAAATAGTATGTCCGATGGTTAATTTTTCCGATTACGTTTTCCGATTAAATTATGGATATATCCGATGAAATTTATCCGATGAAATGCAATTACCGATGAAATTTGATTGAAAAACCGATCAAATTTTTCATCGGATATACAATTTAATCGGACATATCCGTTTGTTATCATGTAATTGGATTATTCGATTATATTTAATCGGACATTTTTCTCAGTGTAATAATACATTTTTCATAAGACTGGGCGATTTAGATTATATAATGTAAACGTAAGATTTGCAAAGTGTAATTTGTGCAGCGTAAATTTTCAATGTTGTGTCCTAAATAAGTATTGGATTAATTAATTGGAATCTTAATTTAGTGTTTATATTGCATTTTTATTAATTTTAAATTAAATATTAAGTTATATAAACGACTGAATTGAAAGATTGTATTAAATATTTCAATGAAGAGAACAAGAGAGCAGACAAAAGTTATGTTATTCGCTTCGGCACGTAATAAAGTCTGAATTTTTTGTTATCTTTAGGTTCCAGTTGCCGTCCCGCACGCAGTTCCAGTAGCCGTCCCGGTGCCGCAGCCCTACCCCGTGGTTCATACCAAGACCATCGCGGTTCCCGTAGAGAAGCCTGTTCCAGTGCCCGTTAAGGTGCCGGTGACCGTGCCTGCCCCATACCCCGTGCCTGTCAAGGTAAATTATAACAAATGCTAATCTTCTTTTAACCGTGACATTTTCGAAATTTGTTAATTCTTAAAAATTCAAGGATTAGAAAATAAACTAGCCGAACTTGACAGACGAAAAATTAGAATTTCGTATCAGGATTCATACCGTAAATCAAAAAACATTATCTCTCAATATTTTGACGTAATTTCTGATAAATTTATTCTATCGTAATAATATATTCAGCTTATTATAACGTGTTGTCTCATTATAATTTTTGTACGTGTCCAGACGCAACAAGTAGAAATCGATTTCGAGATGTGATTATGAATAGTTTCGTTGTATACTCTCGGGCTCCGGCATAGCTAATTTACTGCCTACATTGATTAATTGGTATCTCGATACAATGTGTTGCGATAAGAATTACGGTTTTGGTCATCTATTTGTGTGTTACGCGACTAGGTACATAAGAGAGATGCAATCGATCGCCTGAACATTATTTTATAGTTTTTGTTGTAATTAAAATAAAGCCACAATTGATGCCGTAGATCAATGATTGCAGTATGCTCGATTGATGTAATTAATGCGAATATATTGACTACAATTATTTAGTCTATTATTAGATACTTTGTTTCAAGTTATAGAGGAAAGTCTTGTATTGTGAGGTAGGATTTTAATATGAGATAGCAGGTTTTCAACGTCCAAACTCAATCACAACTCTCGATCTAACGATCTAACAATCAATTTTCTACTAAAAAGATTTCACTCCACGGACATTAAATTCATGATGGAACCAACAAATGATGTCTATTAATTTAACAGAAACTCCACTATCTTATATTAGCTGCTTATCTCATAATAGGGGACTCTTCTCTATAATAATAATAAATATGTAAGAATGCACACCAGGCCAACGTTATCCGTATTATTTATACTGTGATTATATTAATTATATTAAAAACGTTAGAATTGTAATACTAAATACTATCCTAAAGTACGTTTAATATAAAGAATAGCACACATAATATAATAAACTCCTGGAAAGTGGTTATTTATATAATAAGAGCAGAAATTATTTCATTTTTATTTAATATAAATATTCTTGTCTTCCAGATCTCCCACCCGGTTGCAGTTCCGGTCGCTCACCCAGTGCCAGTCGCGGTCCCGCATCCGGTCGTCGTCAAAGAAACGGTCCCCGTTTACGTTAAGGGCGGCTACGGCGGCTACGGCGGCTACGGCGGCTACGGCGGCCACTACTAGATGAAATTTTCCTAAGAAAAAAAGTCACATACACACCACCCTGCTCCATCGTAACCCTTTTCCCAGCAGCGCAAAATCCAACACGACGAGCGTCCGTTCAAGAGACGCTTCTTTCGTCGTGTAGTAACTTGAATTCACGGAATAAATCAATTTTGTAAATGTTTTCGTAAAGAAATAAGCGACTTCTTCTTTTCCTTCTCCGCCCATCTTTTATATCAAAGATTTAAATATTATTATAACACGCACACGCGCATACGTTTGTATACACACACTGAGAAAAATTTTCATCGGATAAACCAATTGAGTAGTGTTTCCGATGGTTAATTTTTCCGATTACATTTTCCGATTAAATTATGGATACATTCGATGAAATTTATCCAATGAAATGTAGTCACCGATGAAACTTGATCGAAAAACCGATCGTATCTTTTATCGGATATACAATTTAATTGGACATATCCGTTTGTTATTATGTAATTGAATTGTCCGATTATATTTAATCGGACATTTTTCTCAGTGCACATACACGTATATTACATTTGAGTTTATATTATTACCATTTTTATAAATAGCATAAACAGAATGTGACGTTTCACGCACGATTCGATATTAGATAATTTTATTACATGCTTTCCAGCGCTTAAAAGTTGAATGCCGAATGTCGTATGTTCCTTTTAAATGAGATTTCAATTGTCCGACTTCTGCTCCGACCTCCTGATCTTTGGGTTGCTGTTGCTACTGATTTGCTGTTTCAGTAAGACCTCAATATTTCCTTTACACCTCGCCCAAATGTATTCGCCTTTCACACTGCCTCGGTCTGTTTCTAAGCGAGAAACGTGAGAAACAATGTCCTTAGGCGCAATGAAATAAAGTAGAGGTATATTGCAACAGCGTTTTGTCTGTGAGATTGCTACACAAAATTTCGGCAATACATGCCTTTATTTTTCACGGTCTGACCATTAGTGGTTCACCTTGATTACGGAATAGAGCAAAATGAATGGCGGATTTAGGGAAATTGGCCAACGCCCGAAGGCCTTTTGGTCTAAAGATGATGAACGACCTGTTCAAAATATTGTAGCATTACATATTACAACCGAAAGCTAAACGGTTATGTGGCCAGCTGTGGTCGAATAAAATTTGAAATTTTAGTATTATACTGGCAATTAGGAGCTAATCTTTAAACAGTTATGTCATACCTTACAAGCATACGCAGGGAATTTCGATTTATTTTAGATTACTTTAGGTGGCTAATTTTAATTACAATCTATTTTTAATTTTCTAAATATTTTTATCCTTGTAAAATTACATTATTTCAGATTTATATACATATATATTCAATTTCTATGAAACGTTTATAGAAAATTGTTATAAAATTCCTGTTATACAGATTTTTAACTAAAAACGTATATATCCTGTGATAAATATTATTTAGATAGCGTATTAAACGAATTTTATATGAAATTATAAGCATAACATGTAAGCATAAAAGAAGAAATATCAAATTGCAACAATATTTTTGTACTGATGCAACAGCCTGCATCTGCCATCGATACCTTCTACTAACCTTTTTTTTCTTTATTAAAGCGCATATGATACTTTACCCGAAAATGATTGAGTAACCATTTCGCTCTTTCCTTCTTCTCTTTTATACGACAAGAGTTATTTGTCAGTAAGTTTAAACTTTTATATCTATTTCAATCAGGCATCTTCGAACATTGAACCGTGCATTTAATTCGTTAAAATCTTTCATTTTACTATAATGACCGTAGATAAATTAAAAAACGAGAATATGATATAAAAGAAATTTTGGAATAACAAAAGTGTAATCATGATAATTAAACATTAAACTATTTTCTCAAGTATCGATGGTCGTTAAGATGTCTTCGTTTGCGGAAAACTTTAGAAAGCAAGAGTCAAAGTACGAATGCAAATATGCAACCGAGAATGAGGCAAATGAAGGAATGTGAATATACACTTACATAAAATATGTCGGAATATTTCGAGATAAAGGGAAAGCATATATTTTTATAATTATGCTTGTTGCATAAGGTTTGCATAAATTTTCAAAGCAGCCTCGGAATGTAAATCAAGATATAATTTTTCATACACGTAAATGCGTTTCCACCTACATTGCAAATAAAAATTTTATTACTTATCACCATATACATATAAGATTGTGATATACATGTATATGTATACATCATAAACCTCTCGCATATTTTTAACGTTTAATGACGGAAACAATCCTTGATGAAGGTCGACCACACATCATTCCACCTACGTTTTGTGGCAGAAGCATTCCAATTGAACGGACAGGAAAGAACTAAATATCCTTCTAATACAAATAAAATATATAAAAAAAGAGACGCCCGCCTAGAGAGAAGGGAGGTCCAGATTCAAACCCTGGCTGAGGTAATATTTTTCGCAATAAATTTTCTGCATTATAAAAATTGCCAGATACGGTCAATAAAAATCACAGATGTTGAAAATATAAAATGCCCAACAATTACAGTTGTCGAGAGATACGAAAATTAAATAACATAAGAAGACGGACTTATCATTATAACAATCGGATAATGATCAATATCTGCAACAATGAGCATCATATGAAACAAGATAAAAAAACTATCAAATATTTTTGAAAGCGTACAAACAATTTTATTTTTTACTTTCAGAATTGTATCGACATTTATGTAGATTGAATTAAGAAAGAAACACGAAATAATAATATTTAGAAAAGTAATCTCAGATTTTATCTTAAGTTTGCTTTTTAACAGTTTGATGGAGACTTAATAATTTACATAACTAATAATTATATAGTTATTATTTATCTTAATGCTTTCATATTAATTTGATTTAAATTGAGTTTTATTACCTAATCCTAATATTCGAATCATTAATTATATTTTCTAATAACTGCAAAATTGCTAAAGGAAAGATGCAATTGGGTTTTGCACATTATGTAATGTAAAGTTGATACAAGATCCACAAAATTGTGTAACCGCAACAATCAAACACAATCGTCATGAACGATACAAAAAAGACCGGGAACAAAGAAGACAAGAACGAGCTTCCTCGAGAACACGAAATTGACTTTCTTTCTTGGACGGCGCGAAACGTTCCGCCTACATAATGATCTCTCGATTATACCAATTTGCACAACAATAACGAGGCAATTGATGCTTAATATGCCGCACTTAGTAGTTACATTTGACAACTTTATTACCTACGGATACGATTCTTCGGCTTTTATGTTACTTTTAAATCATGTATTTTATACCATAATCATCACGTTTTCTGTCAATTACATTATAAAGTCAATTTATATTATACAATTTAAAATGCTAAATAAACAACTACGCGCTGAAAATGTCTACTAAATGTTAATTTTTTTGCAAAGTTCAATTTTTTTCTTAAATACAAAATAAATATTTAGATAAAAAATTTGAGAGGTTTCTTGGGAAATATTTAATGAATTCGAGGATAAAGCAAAGAACGCAAAAGCAATGTTTGAGTTTTGGTAAAAGCTGCGCAAGGCTTAAAGATGCGAAAGTAATGTTACGGCACTTGTATAATGCAGATCATGTGCATTCGATGCAGAATGCGTATACATCCATGTATGTATACACGTATACATACGTGGATGTGACGCGAGGAACGTGCGTGTAATAACCGGTGTACGACGAACGAAACGTGGAATTTTCGGCGATTTCGCCTGACTGGCTGGGCCTGGCGCTCGCGATTATGCAATCGCTACAAATGATTATACATCTCGCGCTTGCAACAAATGACGAGACGGCAAGCAGGGGCCAGTTTCCGGTGTCGAAATCAGAAACGGTTACCGATTTATGCAATTCACGAACACCCGTTTGGTTTGTCTCTCCCACCCGGAAATCGTTGGCTCAAAGTGTTAACTGAAGACTCCGATAAAGTCCAGTGCAGTCAACAATAACGTCACATTCCACTTTTAATTTTCACGTGAATTTTGTATCTTATTGCGAATTCATTTAATTTTTAATATTTTAATTTCTTTGTAATTCGCTAATTCGCTTGTTAAAGACACATTCTTATATCTCTATACATATTAAACATAATATATATTATAATAATTTAATAGTATTATTAAAAAAGTTAAGGACTAAAGAAAAATGTCGTTTTTATTTTCTTCAACTTTCTTTTTTTTTAAACTGACTCTTAATGTTTATGGAAATTTAATTGGATAACAAATGTAGAAAAGTCAAAGGCCAAATGTTTCAACTCTTTTAGTTAATATTTTATATAACTTGCAATATTTTATGCAGTTAATTTTTTTATTAAAAATGGAATTGCTAGATAGATCAATACGCTCACAGATACGCTTTACTTCCTTTAAATCCTATCAGCAAATAATTCTAGGATTTACGATGGATGGGGCAGCTAGTAGCAGAGCATAAATCTTCGCGAAGAAATGTCTAGAAGAAATTTATATCGCAGATCTCGATCGTTCTTTCTCTCGATGGCCGAGAAATATTTTGTCTACGCAAAAAGTCGCTGGCGCCGGCCTTGATAAATGTCACATGTAAATTCGGGTCTTCGATATCAGCGTTCGAAAATTGCTAAAACATTCTCTGTCTTTTCGGTATGGCAAAAATCCGGGTTCGTAACGTTATAGTATAATATTTTTAATTGGAACATTCTCGTTTTTTTCTGCGACGTTCCACGAAAGTAAAATCTTTTCCAAGTGTAAAAATATTAACATGTAGCACTTGAAATTTTAATAGCGAATTTGTGAAATGAGATGCTAAAATTTATTTAAATAAATAAGATTTGTACATTTTATTTCTTACTATATTTTATTAGGTGTTTTATCGTATTATATTTTTACAGTATTAAACGTATCAATTTATATTAATAATTATTTATTAGTTGTGAGTTGTTTGACTATAATTTATTTATTTAATAAAACCTATCAATGTCATTTAACTGCAATTCTTTACTTTGTATTAGTTGAAAACTGTTGATGAACTTTTGATAATATTAACGTTAGAAAGCTCTTCTATAATTTATAATAAGAATTATTAGAAAATTAATTTGTTATTTTCTAAATTATGAAATAAACTTGTTAGAAAAAGAAACTTATCAATATCAATAAGATATAATTTGATAAGATGTTAGTTAAAACTATTTTAAATAAATCTAGCAAACGAGACTATGGCAAGTGTGTCTCCAGTGATTATTTATATTTGTTAACCGGTTTTTAAAAATTAATATCGGCGATTTTAGGATAATATTATATAAAATATAGCAATAAGAAAAATAAAATTGCATTCAGTATGTCTTCTAAAAAAATTATCTTTGAAGCTGCTGGTGCTGAAATATTTTATGTAAAATACAGAAGCACTTGTCAATTCTAATTCGCAAGTCATATATGGTAATTTACAAATTCATTTGTAACATGTGTTCACAAAACGCTTGCATTTAATAATCAGCGAAGACATTAATTATCTCTACTTCAAACAAGTCTAGGTTGCCATAAGCGTCTTTTGATTAATTATTTATGTTTACTATATGCAATAAAGATCACGAATTCGGATTTACATACGTTCAGAAATCAGCGCCGAAACGAAATGAGTGAATATAAACTCACTTGCAAATCAACTTTGTTTGATGATTTGTTAGTTAAATATATGACTTTTTTGTGTAATTGTTGACTGTAATGAAAAAATAAGATTGATATAATCTTTATTTGATTGAATTAATAAAAAATTTAATTTTTCTTATGCTGTAAATCTTTTACGTAAAATGTTTAAAGAAAATAATTTAGCATTTTTTTTCTATGACAGCTTTTTATTCGTATATATTCTTTTATTCATTTCTTATACAAAGCACAATCAATTATTCACTTATTACCTTTTATCTGTAATTTCTCAAAGAATGTAAAACAGTGTTTTTTATTTAACGAATATTTAATATTTAATATCTTTCAAAAGGAGTTAGCCTTCGAATCAAAATTTTGTTAAATTTTACAAGGTAAAGTTAAATGTGGAATAAAAAGACGGTATGCTATTTATATACATTTTTAACTTGCTGAAGATTAATTCGCCGAAAATCCCAAGATTGTCAAATCGTTTGTCACCCGTCGTCTACGATATATATACATAAACAATTAATCTGCATAAGTTCGTTTTGGCTTCGTTTTGGCTTCCCATTGATTCCACGAATGTAAAGGAACCCGAAAGATGCATTCTGTTGGCGTGGCCTCGCATACCGCGATTTTGACGTCATCCGGGAATCCACGAACTAATTTACGGAGTCTAATGACAGCGTCCCGAGGGCGATGTTTTTTCTTCCGAGTTGGTGGTGTATAAGGCTATCGTATTTTTTTTTGTTTAGTATGTTTGCCATCGGGTATACGAATATATTTAAATTTACACATTCTTTCTAATAAACTGTATGAAAAGAACGCGTTGAGAAAAATTAAATGTAATTAGTTATTAAATCTGTTATTTCTGTTAATTCTTTTGATAATATAATAGTTATGTTACATATGTATCTTACATAGATATTACATATGCATTCGAATAAAAAAAAAATTTTATAATTTCTTTATTATTACATTTTATATCAAGTATTTCCTAACTGTTAAAAATAATTTCTTTTAAAAAAAATCAATTTTATTTTTACGCTTATTGTTCTACTTTGTATAAAAACTCAGTTTAATTTTAAAGGCAGTTTTCGTCTGTCTAGGTCATTTATTTTGCTTTCTTCCTACGTGTTATCCCTTACAATATTTTTTAAAATAATATAAACGATTATATTACAAATAATGTACCTGTGACGTAACATGATTCATGAAATAGCAGGTAATTTAGGTAATGATAAATATTTATCATACATAACGATGTCAATTGCTGTAACAAGGGTACGTGAGCCGTTGCCACAATAATTTTCGTCAACACGTAGACAGTTGTATTCACTCATCTATGAGAAATATGTAGTAACGATCACGCTCTCCTTAAGTTTTCTGGAACTGGCCAGACAGGTGGTGCCAATTAACAAGCAGCGAAATTGCGTGAAGCTGCTCAAAAAGTCGGACCACTTTCGGTAATAGCACGGTTCAACCTGAAGAGAAGAATTAGGCCGGTTCCATAAGATCCATAAATTCCATAAACACCTCGCGGAAAGCATGAAACGAGAGAGATTATAGGCGGCGACAGCCGTCCAATTTTGCGATACGGAATGAAGTTACAATAGACATAAATTAAAGAATCTTTTCTATAAACACAAAGTATCTTCAATAATTATTTTAATGGCTTTTATAACATCTGTATTTAAAATATTTAAAATTAGAAATATCTAATACTTTTTGCACACAACAAAGATTACAAAGAACTTTTACAAAACGCTCTTTCATAAGAATTTCAGTTTCTATATTATTTTCTATATAATCTCCGGCAGAAATAATTAATCTTTCTTTAAATTCAGCGTTTTTTGTACTTACTTTTTATTGTAGAAGAGCCGTGGAATCAATTCTTCTTGAGCGTTTTTTTACTTGTTTTTCGAAATTTATAGGATCTGGTCTCTCAAACGCGTATCTCACGCTTGTCGCTTTTTCTCGCCGACTTGAAGAAGAAAATGAGACGTGGTCTTGTTACGTGGTAATAAACGACGCAATGATTTATGGACGGAAGATCATCCAAATGTAATATCGCGCGATGCGCACAATGTTGTTGTGTCATTTTATCAAGTAATTGAGTAATTAAGTAACATTAAAATCTCTTCAGCAGTAATCTTTTATGTTTTTATAACTTTCTTTAACGCGTTACTCTAATTTTGTATTAAAATTATCCAAAAAATACACACACAATTAGATTGTAATTATATATAAAGTTCATGCATAATTATATTTTAATGTATTTAATATTTGATATATTTAATATATCTTTAAATAATGTTTGCTAAATTACTATTAATATTTAATAACGTGTAAATCATTAACTATATTATTTAAAAGCAACATAGATTTTAGATTTTTACTAATAATAATAAAATAATAAGAAAACTGGGGACAAAATTATATCACATATTAAAACACTGAGAAATAAAATTTTAATAAAATACTTAAAAAATTTGGGAGATATAGTAACGTTATTATATAACTGTCTATTTTTATTAGAAACTTTACTTTCTTAATTTACACGGCTTACAATGTAGTTATGTGTACAGACATTTATTGCCCATAGTTAGTCGAAAGCTAAGCTTATCATTTATTTCTCACTCGTGTAAGATTTCAATTACGGAATTGGACAAGAGCGTAGTTGCACAACCAGATGATTGAAGGAACACCTGGTGCGATCACGATCGCAAAACAAAGATTCGCAAAGATTTAATCGGCACGGGCGTTAATTAGGAATGCATTGGTGTACAACAATTTTTTTACGCAATTTGATATAAAATTCACAATAACAATTATATATAGATGAAAAATTTCATTAGGAATTTATCTAAAAATATTGTAAATTTTTATTATAAAGTGCACAATCATAATGTTGTACAACAATCTAAATGTCTCTAGTTAATGGTAAAAACTGTTTCCTTAACAAATAATTATATGAAAATTTTTAATAAATATACAAAATTTGTAGTTGTGTAAGAGATGAGTAAGATTTCAGGGTATAGAAACACTAAGTTTTATAATTTATTATAAATTAAGTATCAAACTAATCTATACGGCTTCTCTCGTAGGCCGAATAAAAGAGACTTAATGCTATGAATTTCGACGCGTGCGAGGTGGTGCATTTGCGCAAGAGTCTTACGAGCGACGAGAAGAGTCGCGCGGGTGCGAGTTTTTCGGCGGTCCCCTACTCGCGGGACCTGGTTTCGGTTTCTTTTCACCTAACCGCGTTTCGGCAGTGGGCCCGGTTGCCCACCACCTCGCTCTCCATGCCGTCTCTCCTTGAGGGTTTATCGTATAAAAGCAGGGGGATCTTCATCGTACTCATCAGTCGCAAACACGACGAACCGAGTCCGAAACTCGTGCAGCATCATGAACGCCAAGGTATAATCGGATACGAAAGTTCTTTCATAAAAGTTGGTTTGGCGAAGCGTCTGGAGGATCGGAAAGATCTAGAAGATTTTTGAAAAAACCGATCGTGTGTTACAACGAGGGTGAACCGTGCTCTCAAAAGATATATTGATATAATTTAGTTCATTGCAAAAAATAGACTGTTTTGCAACTGATGTAAAATCTAAAGGACATATTTATAATTAAATTAATCATATCAATCATATTAATATTAAAATCAAAATTATAAGTGAAAAGAACATTTATAGCGGATATATCTTTTATTTTTAATTTATCAATTTATGTTCGTTTCACATTTTTAAATTAATACATTAGATTTTGAAATTAAAATTTTTAATAATACGCAGAAAGATAAACACATTTTTTGTCGAAATATTATCAAATTATTTTAGGTTCTTTTTCATAATTCTTCTAATTTTTTAAATTCTCTTCAAACTTTTATTTTTCATGTGAACAATAGATTTAATATATTTATTAATTCAGTTACAAATTATTCGTCTTGTGTATAAAATTTAAAAAAATTATCTTTTATTCTTTCCCACTTTGAGTATTCGAATTGAATTATAAAATATATTATTGTACAATTTCAGGATCACATTAAAATAAGTTAGAGAATTAATACCGTTATGTAATCTATATATAATTTTGCAAAATTGTTAGAAAGCAAAGCACATAATTGTTTCATTTACAGGTGGTAGTCCTCTTCGCCCTGGTGGCACTCGCTTTCGCCGAAGAAACGAAGAGCGACGAGACCAAGAAGGTGGAGACCACGAAGAAGGATAAGCGAGGCCTTTACGGAGCCTTGGGCTACGGCTACGGTGGTTTGGGATACAGTGGGCTGGGTTACGGTGGAAGTTACGGTTTCGGTGGATTGAATACGTACTCGTCCCTTCCAGTCGGCATCAGCCATGGTGTTTCCACTGTCTTGACGAAGGAAGTCGCTGTACCCGTACCTCATCCGGTCGCCGTACCCGTCGAGAAACAGGTCCCAGTCCCAGTTAAGGTATCGATTTATTCACTATTTTCTCACTAAAGTACTAAAGTACTCGCGATTACACATGTAAACATGTGAAAACTTAACAAGATTTGGCGAAGAATATCCGGAACACTTTTTTCCATCTTCTTGTTTCAATATCACATCCCGCTACTGGCGGAAAAAGCGGAAACTCCATTTCCGAGAGCCAATTTACTAGAAAGCATAATTTGATGAAAGCGAAACAATTAGCAAATGACTCGTAGGAAATAATAGCTTCACTGCGTCTATGCCTTCCACCAGGAAGATCGATCGAAGGTGATTGCCTCCATTTCTCTGTTTTTCTACCACGTTAATCACACGTGTAGATAAAAATCATTTTGCAATTACATTTTTTGCATATTTCCAATGTCTTAAGTGCCAACATAGATTATTTTTAATTTGGCGTGTATTTATACCCTTAGTTCTGCTGCATGTAGAATGTTTTTGGTGTAAGCCCAAGTTTTATAAATTTCATGAATCCGTTTCACATGCAGAAAGAATCAATTTCTCAAGAAATTTCTGCTTGATGAGGTGCATACGGTTAGTTTCTAGAATGATATATAACTAAGATCTATATGCATAAAGTATGGTAATCTAGACTTTCGAAACGCGTGTATTTCTGCGACGCTAAAGCTAGCGATCGCACAAAGAGAGATACGCCGTAACAAGTGGAGCGTGATTAGAAGTGCGAGGTCTTCGCTTCATACGCAGGAATCATACGATGTCTTGCGCTGCCCCGCTGGATCAGTCACCTTGATCCAGATCATCGCAATAGCTTACAAAGTTAAATCTATCTCGTATGCATTTTACATCTTAATAATGAAATTCAGTATCTTTCATATCGCAGAAAAAAGCTGGTAGGTAATAGAGTTTGCAAAAAAAGTAGTTTGAATTGCTAATTGGACAGAGCGGAAGGTTTAGCTTCTAATAATCAACCCGAGAACCCTAAGTTATAAGAAACTAAACTTCGTATTATAATAATATGTATATTTCTTAATCCTCGTTGATTTGCGGCTTATTTCTTAATGCGTTACTTTTGTAAATGAACGGACCGGAAGATTTTATTCAAAATCTGATTAATCACAGCGCAGCGTTCAAAGATATCTTTTTTTTCTTCAAGGTGCCATACGCCGTGCCCGTCGACCGCCCGTACCCCGTCCAAGTGCCTAAACCCTACCCAGTTGAGGTCACCAAGCATGTTCCCGTCCCGGTAGACCGCCCCGTGCCCGTCCCTGTCAACGTTCCAGTCAAGGTCCCAGTTCCCGCCCCGTACGCCGTCAAGGTGCCCCAGCCCTACGCCGTCCCCGTCGTCAAACACGTGCCGGTACCAGTCGCGCAGCCGGTCGTCTACACAAAATTGCACTCTGGTCTTGGATACTACGGTGGATATAACGGTGGATACAACGGTGGATACAGCGGTGGATACGGTGGATACGGTGGATACGGCTACAGCGGGTACAGCGGATACGGCGGATATGGCGGATATGGCGGATACAGCGGATACAGCGGTTACCCCTATGGATACTCTTCCTGGTAAAACTGGCAAACTCCTAGGGGCGGCGCTCTTCGACATCATCAGCGCGAAGCATCACTTGGGCCGCGTGGATCTTTCAGAGCTTTCAGTGATCACCTTCCTTAAGAAAGCGCTCCCAAAGAAATATATATATTAATACACGTTAATGTATATATTCTTCTTCGTCGATAACGAATGTGGTTAAAGTGAGTTGAAGGACAATTTTCGCGAGTCTTTCATGTCGTATTCTTTCGGACATTTTTATGACAAGGATAGAAGGAGAGAGAATGTGTGTCTGGAAAAGAAGAGCGTCCTCTGATTTCGAATGAAAAAACAAAAGGACATTTCCGCGACGAAAAAGGATCAAGTGGTGCTCGCAATCATCAAGTGTGACTACTTAGGTCTACGTTTCTACCTGTAATTTCATTATACCGATTGTTCATCATTGAAATAAATCTTTTCCCATGAAGATGCTGTGTCTCCTTACTTCCTCTTATTCTTCTTCATAATAATGTTTTCCTTTTTTATAAAAGTGTTTATTATGTCGCGCAGTAATGTAAAGGCAAATAGAAGAACGTAAACAGATATGATAAAAGATAACAGATCGAATATGGTAAAATGAGAACGAACCAAAAGAACCTTTTCCTTTATATTTTGTTGTTTAAATTATTTTAGATTTTATTTTACATTTATATACTTTTCAATTTACAATTATTTACAATTTTTGCATACTTATCGTTAGTACTGAGTACGCGATATTTTTGATGCAAGATAATTGATAGAACGAGAAGGCGATACATAATTAAGTAACGCAAACAATTAGAGCTTTTAATTACGTAAACAATCTCTTGCAAGATTACAAAACAAAGTAACTGTATAATCCACGTGCAAGGAAAGGAAAACCGTATTATGAGAAATGGTTACATGAACGCGGCGGCGGTGAAATGTCCATTAAATGGAGAATGGGGACACGTTAAACACGCGATTAATGAAATTTGCATGCAGTGCGCACGCCACACGTGACGTACGCACATATTGTAAGTGATCCCGTTGGGCAAGTCCGAGTCGTAACGCTACTTGCCCACCTGCCCAATAAAAATGTCGCAATCTGATATTTATGGCTATACGCAGGGCGTTACGCGAAAGATTCAACAAACATGAGGAGTAAGGAAGAGATGCCGTTTCGGCGTCCAGAAATCTTTTATTAAAAAATAGTATTACAACATTAACAAATGAAAGACTATAACATTAAGTAGTAAAAACAAAAACTCAACATCTTTCAGAGAACCTACTTGTCTATATACAAGAATATATAATGCACCATTGAGGATCAATTTTTCAGAAATCAATAGCTGAATTAATTTTACAATTAGTCGCGGTAAAGACAACAGCGTCAAAGGGAAAAATTGATCAAAGAATTCTGCTCTTTTGCCTTTTCTAAAGCTACTTGCAGCAATCTAATTTAAATTGGTTGCCAAATTTGTGAACATTTACGTTACAACTTCCATGACTTCTACCTTCACTACTACATTCGACTAAAATTGTAAAAAGAAACTAACAATAAGTTTAATAGAAATCAATTACATAATCGCAGAAGTGGTATTCCATAACATTTAAGAATCTTTCTTTATGTTACAGAAATACGTTACTGCCGATTATTGCTACTGTGGAAGAAACATTAGCGTCATTTCTTTTATCAGTAGTAGCTAACAAATTTCCACGTAATTATGTGTACAAGTATCTAATATTTCCCAACGTATGATATAAATGGATAAATGTGGAAAATAAAAATTTTTTATACTTTTATAATCAATACCAATATTGTATGTATAAATTTTTTATCCCAGAGAACATTAAAACGTCTTAATGTCTTTAGTATGTCTTGAAGACGTCATTTAGACACGCGTATTGTTTGGGATATGTCTCCGAGCATAAAATGAATTTCCTATCTAATTCTTCTTCCTTCCTTCTATAAATCTAATACTTCGAAAATGATATGTAACGAAGTTTGAGAAATATTACTTCATATTCATATATCGAGCCGTCAATTTTGAAAGTAAAATGAGTCAAGTTTCCAAGAAAGGGCATCGTTATTTAGTACTCGTATTTTACTTATCGGAACCCTTTAACGTTTCGCTTAAGCTGCTTTCAAAGTGACCGGCTCGCACATCATACGTCAATGATTTACTTCTCGATTTACTTTTCCTCTGAGCCGCGCAGACCCCGCACGCTGCCATAATCAGTCGACCTGTCGCATTTCGAAAGCTAATGATCTGCCGAGTAGTCGGTCTGAGATGGTTGAAACTGGGTCTGCTGGTTATTAGTCTGCTGATCGTAGGCTTCCTGGCCTTGAGAGGTGTAAGTGCTGTAGTTGGCAGTCTCGTGGCCACCGTGGTCACCTCCGCCTCCAGCTCCAGCGGAAATGCCACCTTCATCGTGACTCGATTGTGGAATCGAGATTGTTTTTGGCACCGGGATAAAGATCGGCTTGGTTAAAGTAACCGGATGTGGTACGGGAACTGGATGTGGTACAGGCACCGGTTTAGATATCAGGAAGGGCACCTAAAAATTACATCAACTGTATTATACCTTTATAGTTCTAATATTAATTCCTTTTAAGCAATTGAAAAGCATATAAAGGTTACTGTTTATATTATTAAAGTTGCAATATCAAAAAGTCATTGTTATGAATTTCTTTTGTCTGCTATAATTGTATGAATGTCAAAAACTATTTTTTATATGTATAAAAAATATGAATATAAAATGTAAAAAGTATAAACACATACTTTGTCGGTAATTATTTACAAATAAAAAGTATAATTTAAAAAGCAATCTATAAAATCAATTCTTTGTACAAGGCGTTGCGTGTCTAAAAAAATTTTTTGTATCACGATGTAAACAAATAGAAATATAACATAGTTACTTATATATTTTTTATTTTAGGGACTTTATTTGTTAGGAATGATCTAGGATGTTTCTGGGAAAAATATTATTAGCTCAGATTTTTTAATTAGTAACGAATACCTGCTGATGCACTTCCACTGGGAACGGCCTCTCCACTGGCACTGGCACGTGCTGCGGTACTTTCACTATCTGTGGTACTGGAACCGCGAAGGGATGTTTCACCGGCACCGGAAATGGGATGTGATGAGGTATCTGAAAAAAAAACGTAAAAAATATAATCGATCAGCCATGCGCCAGCATTTATACATTGTAATGTTTATTATATAATGTATTATATGTATAAATGTTGTATTATATAATGAGGAAAAATCAGAAATCTGCTTTCATACATTTTAATATTAAAATTATATTGTTCTTTCTTTCTTTCGTTATATTATAAATATAATCTTTATAAATAATTTTACAATATTGTAGAGTATGTAAAAATAAATACGATTATATAAAATTAATTTAATTGCATTGTTGTGGGAAGAAATTTTTCTGATAAAATTTTTAGGTAAGTTTTGGAAACGTTTTAACATTTTATTTTTTATTGATATATAAATTTATTATTTATATTTATATGTATATACATATATAGATTATTAAAAAGAGAATTTTTATTATATTTAATTTTTTATTCAGTTTTTGTTTTACATCCGGGTATAAATTTAATATCGTGATTTTTCTAGCAATTACAGCGCATCTCGATGTTTAATTCTTTTAAATAACAAGGTTTAATCTTGTGGATTTGTAAAATGTCAGGTTAATCAATCATTAATTAGCTTCAAGATTTTTTTTTCAAAAACTGCTTACCTTAACGGGATACGGCACAGGGACTTTGATGGCTACTGTCTTGGTAACCTTGATCACCTTAGTCGGCACTTCATGCAGATGTACCGATTGCGAGATGAGCTTGGGCTCATCTGTCCCAAGACCGTGGCCTTCGTGTATCAAGAACGAGGGTCTCGCCGTGACCGCCATCACTACCAGCGTGAATAAAAACTGCAAAGGTGTAACATCGTCATGAAAGCATAACGGACCTGTCTGACAGATAATCAGCGATTGAACATATCCACGACAGTTGTGGCAATTTCGTAGAAGACTTGAACGAAGTCAAGGTTTAAGTAAAATTTCAGTTAAAATTAATATTTATTTAAAAATTTGCATCTAGTTTAAATAAACAGCGAAAAATGACGGCTAGAAATATGATGTATACGTGTATAATGTAAAATAGTAATTTTTATATTTCTAATTCGTTCCTAAAGTTTCAAAATTAAACTCTTGCCTGCTTTCAGTAAATAATCATAATTCGACGAGATGCAGCAACAATAATCTAGATTACAGTTCGAATTTCACGATCACTTGTGCTTCTAAATTTCAACATACCCACATATTCAAGCGATTTCGATTCGAGGTAAAAAATCTCGAAGTCGTTCGTAAAACGTTTTCGCGCATTCTTAACTCTCAAGAGACCTATCGAGATCACTATCGAACACGCGTTTCACAAAGCCGATATCTCCGGTGATCCGGAAACCTCGTGATCCGGAAGAAATGAAGAAGTGCGACGATTCTGAAATCTCCATGATCTTGAAATTTCCGACCGTGGTGGAAACTTACGAGTTGCAACATGTTCGTCATCTTGCGGTTCTGAATCGAGATCCAATGGTGTTTCCGCACTGGACTATTATCGTCTACACGGTGGCTTATATACCAAGACCTTCACCATGAATCGGTTCACCACGAAGAAAACACTCACTCACTCTCTTTCCAACTGGCCGATCTCTTTCGCCGGTCGATCTCGTCTCCTCTTCTCCGCTTTTTGCAATTGTTCCTTTTCTAAGCGAGTTCAACGACCCAGTCGGCTACGATCCTGATGGGTGCGACAGAAAGAAAAGACAATAGGGTAAGAGCGGTTTTAACATGAAGCAAAGATTGTGAGTCACGATGATCACGAAGAGGCACACCCTAGCCAATGGAAAGCACTACGACATAAAAAATGCATATAAATTAAAGACGTTCATATATTTTTCTCAAACTGAATGATAATACAATATGCGATTATGTAAAATAATGTATAGTATATAAATAAAATGCATAAATTTTTAAGATAAAATTTATATTAATATTTGTAAATAGGGTGTTATATTGAAAATTTAATTAATTAATATAACATTGATATACAAATGTATATATATACATAGAATAAAATCATATTAATTAAATCAAAGACAACCCGCACGTGCGCGCGCACACACACACTCACTCACTCACTCACTCACTCACTCACTCACACAGAAGAAGGTTTCATGGATACATTGTGACTGATCATAGTTCCTCGTCCGATAATCTCATGCGAAAGGCAAAAGCACGTGCATAGGAAGTAAAAATATCGACAGACAACTCGCGTTTCAATTTCCGGCCATACACTAATGTGGAGAACGTGCGTTCAATGTCTTCTCAAAAGGGAAGCGAGCGTAATGCAAACGAGAGTGAAAGGACTATCACCGAAAGGCGGCGAACTCATAAAGTAAGAGGGCCCGCGACCTGATTTATCGGTTTCCACTTGGGCATTCACCATGAGTGAATATCATAAGAGTGCATTTATCCCGCGAAAAATACGCAAGTTCATTGTCAATCAGTCATGACAGTAATATTTATTTTATTTACAACAGTTTATAGAAGAATGACGCATCTTTAAAACAATTTTTTGTAATTTATGAAAATTGTGTATTTTCTTATTTTATTTTAATACATCTTTGAATTTGTGATATTCTTTATCTTCTTCAATGTGTTTACTTTAGTATATTTTATTTTAGCAATTGCAGATTTCGTGTTCTTAAAAAATTTTAATATATTAATAGTTAGTATAGTGTGTATTGGTTTAGTACTTTTGGAATCGATTTCTTTGTTTTACAAGATCTAAATAATAAACAAATAATCCAAATTTATAGTGCAATTATCTCGCGACGATAAAAGTAAGAAATCAATGTATTTATGTAATTTACATTATTAATATTGTACAATAATTTTAATGCTTTATCTCCCTGATTACATTTATCGACTGATTATAATTCATGACTGTCATTTAGTATTATATGTTTGTATTAATAATGTCTACGAACGTATAGTTTCAGTATTATCTTATTATATCTATTTAGTTTATTTTTATTGGTAAATATACATATATATCTAGAGAAGTAGACACGCTTTCTCCAATGATTTATAAATCACTTATGCGTGTAAACATTTTATTTGTGCTGCAGAAGATTACACTACCAATGTCTAGGTTGTGAGAATAAAAGCAAACGAACACAACAGATATGAAACAGAAAACACTATCTAAATAATTAGCAACTAAAAATCCAAAAGTACGAAATAAAATCAAACGATTAGGACAAATCGATATGGAACAAACCAAATTAATTGGTAATTGGACGATTGTAAGAAAGAAGCGAGAACACGTCTTTTACAATTGAAGGTCTGAACTTGTTAACTACAGTTGATTGACTATTTTCAGATTACGTGAACAATCTAATGAACGATTTATTAATTCAAAGTAAATTGCAATCATTGAAAAGTAGACATTAGTTACAATTTGTATACGGCCGTTATTACGAACAGGCTCGGTGAATAAATTTACCGACTTTCATTGAAAGAGAGAGGGAAAAGAGAGAATCGTACAAATAATACAAATCGTACAAATACTTTTGCTTTTGTGTCTAACCGGTTATTGTTCTTCTCATTCTACAGCCTCGCTTTATTGTTAAAATTTTATACTGTTTTACTACGTCAAAATTTTATTATTGATTCGTTAGTAAAGCACAAGCAAAATGTGCCAAAATTTATTTTTAAAATCTTTTTCCTAATTCTAACCATTTTTGGCGATGAAATGTATAGAAACGAATATTCACAGCAAAGTGTTTACAATTAATTAAATAACTAATTAAATTTTTTTATATTAATAATGTTATTTAATTAATTTTTATTAATTGAATTTTATATTAAAATTATTAAAAGCCATCTATTTTATTTTATCTAATACAAGTAAATATAATTTAATTACATAATTACATAAAATCAAAATATGTCTAATTACATCAAAAATTAGATCAGATCGCGATTAATATATTAAGATTGAAATTTAAGTTCGCAAGACAGACGCGGAAGTGAACGTATAGGAAAAGGTACTACTTCCTACCTTCACTTGGCTTATAATCCGAATATACTGCAGAACAAAGATTTGAAAAAAAACAACATTTTTGCGTAAGCCACTTTTTAACAAAGCTGGAGAAAGGCATAAATGTATATAAATGTACCTGCATTGGCTTACTGTTAGATAGGATGTGCTTGAACTTATAGAGATCTAGGAAGTGATTGATTGTCTAACAACAAAGGAGTATTAATAATTCGGAAAATTACATTAAACTTTTCAAAAACTGCAAAAATAAAAACACTTTTCATGCTAGTAATAAAATTATAAATTATCCTTCCAAAAAAGATTAAAAAGACGCTGACTATATGCGCTTGTTGTAAAAATATTTTCTAAAATTGCTTTAAACAGAATAAGAAATAGTTTTTTTTTTCAAAATCGTGTGGACCAAATAAGGAAAAAATAATAATACAGCTTTAACGAATTGACAGTTTTCTTGAACACAACACAATTTAATTCTTTTTATAAAGAATTTTTTAATATAATATATAACTTATATACATTCACTAAACTGACAATAAATATTTTTAGAGTCTTTGTAGCATTTTTAAATAATAATTGAGAGCTTCAAAAAGTGTGTAAATAACATTAAACAAAAGATTTTTGACATACGTTTAATATAGTTTCGACAGACTTTTAATATTTTAATTTTTAAATTTAAGAAACTGTCAAAAATTTAAGAAGTAAAGTATCTATTACAAAAGTATTTTTTTAACAATCTGACTGCAATTTACTTTAATTCTCCTGATAATACGCAATATTAACACGCTAGAGTAGCACGAGAAACGTATACACAGGCGAAATCGATCAACTATTTTATATTATACACAGATGGCACCATAATCTTAATAAATTAGTGTAATATTTGATATAAATAAATATGTGTTTAAAAATTAATTTATTATAATATACGCTAATATTTCGTATAATTTGAGAAAATAGTTGATGCAAACTAATTAGCAAAATTGCATAATAATAACTAAATTTTATGTGTAATAGAGTAATTATTGCAATTACAAACAAGTAAAGAAATGTCTAGATAAAAATTAAATTAAAGATATATAACATTATAATTTTATTATAAAATTTCTTTAGGTAAAAGAAACCTTTTCTTATCATTATTATTATCAAGTTATTAACTAATTGTACGTGTAGAAGCAACCAAAATATATTTTTATTTTTAACTTGTTTTTTGTTTAATTATTCGTGCTCTCGCCTAAGTACACGAAATGTAAGAATAATGCTCAAAATTTCATAGACTCTCGCCGAAAGTATTTCGTAGCTATGTATTACATGTACTATACATATACATATGTATATTCGCGAATCAACGGAGCGTATTAACGTGCGTAGACAAAAGCACTGCAAAAAATAAATAGAGTGAAAGTCCGGATCTCTATTTCATTCATAAAGAGTCAATGACAATCTCCGTGACGCGATCTCATACATTGTGTTTTACGTCGCCTTTTAAATAATAATCGCCTTTGCGTTGTCTTTATGATAATTCCCGTTGTAAACCGTTAAGTGCCCGCCTTGCACAATCCAGTTCCTTTTTTTTTATCCTCATTATGCATTATGCCAGGTTGACCGCGCGGGCTGATTGCGATTTCTCGATTTACATATCCTTCTTAATACTTTCACACGTCCGCGCGACATCTCGATCCGATGTAACGGATTGTGTAACAGTTTACATTGACATATGCACCGCATTTGTGTAATAATAATTCAAATTTTCTTATTTTGATGCAAAAATTAATATGATAAACAACGATGAAAAGAATTCAATTGATTTTTAAAGTCTTTTAATAATTTTATATGTTACATTATAAAATTACTATATTATTATTATGGTTTATAACTTTATATATTAATTAATAAATAATTATTGAATTTTAAGTTACTGAATTTAATTACTTCACATTATGTCTACTCTTTTATCTATCTTTTTATTCATTCTTTACCCATTCTTAAAATTATGAGTATATAAAGTAATTATTCAATTTTAAGTTACTAAATTTATTTACTTCACATTATTTCTACTCCTATATCTATCTTTTTATTCATTCTTTATTCAGTCCTAAAATTATGGATATGACACATACCACTTGTTTCAAGATATATCGTTTCAAGACGGTCTGAAAAAGCAAACTCTTCAATTGTGTAACTCTTCTCGAAGAAGTGAGATTAATTAGCTAGGAATACGAAAGTATTATAAAATTTTTTCCATCTCCTTTACCTTTTTTAGTGAACGAGTCTGACCGGACAGGATTAAAATATCACAAGTTTTGGACAAGATGAGTTGTTGCCAAGGTTACATAGTTAACTTTGTCGCCTCGGTAGTAAAAGATGTAACTCGGCCGATCGATTATACAAGAATACTCGTCTTCGCCCATGTGCGAAGAGGTCACTGTGTAGAATTAATGTACACGCACAATACGAAAACATATGCTGGTTTGTAATTTATTACCGCCGGAATGTGTTTCTATTAGTTTTTTCCCTTCCAACAATTTATAATATTAGTTATTTTTACATTTGTTTGCTACTTCATTTATAAATATTTTAATCTTGCAGCTGGAGATCCTAAAGTTATATTAATGATATTTATAAATGCATGATTGCACGTGGTCTCATAATAATTCTCCTTTTAGTGAAAAATGCGTAGTAAAAAAAATAGCGGAAGGATATACATATAAAGAAGGCTAATGTGTTGAGCTATGCTTGATGGGTTGAGCAATATTGATTATACTATCCAATTTATGTCGGAATTGTCCTTTATAGTGCGGGAATAAATTCACAAAATATGCCAAAGCCTTGAATTAATGCGATTATTCGTTATAGAAACGCCCAACCTCTCGGCGGTGGTCAATTGATTAACGCGTGTCGAATTGTTGCCTCAGGGGTGCATCTCGGTTGCAGCGATCCTTCCGATAAGGCTTTCTTTATTTTTGCGGTTTTTAATTAAAGACGATCCACACGATCTATAACATTTTCTACAAATTTAGGAGTGAAATAATTATAATCAATTAAACAGAATTTTTTAAATTTTAATTATAATAGTACATCATTTCGTTGGTATATAGCTTATGTAAAACAGAAGATTTTTAATATTAACAACAAAATGTTAATAATATTAAATCTTTACTATTTATTATAGTTAATATTATAGTTAATAATATTAAATAATAGTAAATCTTTACATTTTTATATTATAATTATAAAAATATATTAATTTAGATTACGAAAAATATAAAAAACTCTGGAGAGCTATGGGAGACTTTGCCTATAATACAATTTTTATATTTAAAAAGCTTTTCACACAGAATATTTTGAGGTTTAATTCTTCATTTTCGATTTTGAGATTATGTAAAATGGACTTTACATACGCGTGTGCCACTTACTTTCATATTCGCACGTCGAGAGAGATCGAAGAAGATTAAGGGAGAATCGGGGCCTCGTGCCGTCCTGCAAATTGTACATGTCTTTATCATCTTATCATCTCGTTTTCACTCGGGACCACCCGAGCGTGTCAATTAGCCCTCGGGTCAGTTTATGTAAAGTGCACCCGGAAGCTGAGTGCATCGATTTTTGCTTGACATCCTTTGAACATACATTCTTTGAATATGCCAGTTGCATGCCAGCTAATCAAGTTTCTCCCCCAGATTTGTTCTTATTCGCAAGTAACTTAAGATATGAAAGAACAATAAAAATAAATATAAAAAGTTATAGTGTTAAAACTGTTTTCTTTTTTATTTTTTTTAATATCAAGTCATTTCTTATTTCATAATTTTATATTTTTTAAGTATAATATTAATCTTTTAATTTTTAAAGTCAGTCTCTTTTTTTAGAATACAGGAAATAAAGAAACTTTGGAAAAAAGATTATTAGAAATCATAATTACAAAAATGTATTATAAATATGTATTTCTATTTATCCTTACTATTAGCTAAGAGCATAATCGACACCTATAGAGAATATGCTTAAAATATTGTATACGATTTTATATCAGTGTTTGTATATAAAATTAATTTTAACATCAATTGTATGATAACAGCAAATGTATGGTAAAACATTTGAATATACTTTTGCGTACCAATAGGGCTTGTAAGTACCTTATTGCATGTTGCGAACAATATTTTTAAATCACCGTCATCAGCTGTTTTATAAAGCAACGGCCTTGGTCCAGCGACATTTTGGCAAATTCGTAAGTTCAGCTTTTAGTAAGCACGTCATTAAGAGAATTGACTTCATATTCTGCATTTTAAAATCTTTCTACATCTTTGAGCTCGCAAGATTTTTTATAATTTTTAATAATTATCATTGTATCCTTAATACATCATGTTTTTTTAATTTATTCTTTGTAGAATATATTAGTGATAATTAGTAGACATAAAAAAATGATGTATAATGTTACGTGTGTATAATTAATACATTTAGGATATTTTTCATTACACAAAACTTTACGTATTGTAATTCATATGGGATATTCCAAAGATAGAAAATTTTCATAATAGATTCTTTCAGCGGTTGGCAATCGATACTTCCTCAGCGAAAATGTCAAGGTATCTATAGTATAAAGTGGTCAAGAAATTGTCTTTTATATTACAGTTAATACATAAGCATAATATGTTATTCCGGATACTTTTTCTTAATTTAATGTTAGTTAATTTTATATAAATAATTTATTTTTCCTAATATTCTTAGTTTATTATTGTCCCGCATACGAAGAAAGGAATTAATAGCAAAAAGAAACATTTCAAACATTTCAAATTCTTCAATAAGATTATTAAAATATATGCATATACATTAAATTGTCCATGTGACACATACTATGAATTTTAATGTCAAAATTCTGTTAAAAATATGTAAATACAAGTGATTTAAAAATTAATTTATTCCATAGAAGCTAATTTTGTAAAAATTCTATTTGAGTCAACATTCTGTAATATTCTGCATAATTGTTTGTATGTTTATAAATTTTTTTTTATTATTCTCTTTTTCAAAATCGTTCTCTTATTTTTTTCTAACATTATTATTACTATTTAATATAAACTCAAGCGTAACATGAGAGTCGGTGGGTCAAATGATTAATCGCAGAAATTTGTTAACGCCTTTTAACAAAGTAGGCTAATCATCACTTAGCCATACATATCAATATATCAAACTACTGTTAAGAGAGTTGAACCGGTCGACAAGGAAAACACATCAGCGCGGCAATCAAGGATTGAGTCGGAAGTCGGTTTGATCGATATATGCAATGCGGACCATTAAACCTTGCGAAAATTCGCTTATTCGCTCTTCATCTTTTAAAAGCCTTCCACGTTTCTCTCAGCGATAACGTCGAGTATTTGGAGATGTATGAGGGCGATTTGAACCATATCTCTCGCGGGAAAGAGAAAAAATAAAAAAAATCCGGGAAGAAGCGAAAGGCCAACGGACCTGCAAAAATCCGCGAAGCGTGGAACTGATGTATATCCATTTGCATAAATCATTATTTTCACGGCGTTGGCTTTAGCCCGAATGTTCGTTGAAATATGGACGCTTTTCTTAGGAACACCGGATTAACAATGGACGGCGACGAGATCAACACCGCTGAAATGTCCGCAATGGTCTTTTATTCAAAGATTTCGGAGAGCAGAATGAAAGAATGAGCGAGCGAGTGAGAGAAGTCGGTGGAGTAAATTAAAAAATCTAGTTCTGCCAATGCCACGGGATTGCGACACGCGAAGGAAGACCGTTTTGGGGGGAGGAAGACTCTGGGGTATAAAAGGTCGAAATGTCTCCGAGCAGATGCTCAACTCATCGCCCTGACATCACACGGCTAACATGAAGCTCCTCCTGTTCAAGCTTGTGGTAAGAGACCGCCTCACTTCCGTCTCTCCCCTCAACCCCGAAATCGCGATCCCACGTTTCAAGTTTCACGAAGCGACTTTGCGGCTTTTTCGCTATTTTCAAGATGTAATTCTGCCTCCTTCCCTCTGCAACGTTTCACTGAAAAATTAAAAACAATTTGAGGGAAATCTGCTTGCAATCTACTTCTTCCAAATTTAATAAATTAGTAAATCGGTTAAGTGTATATGTACATTATAAAAATTAAAATGTGTAATACGTGCAAAATCCATAATTGCACACATATTTTTAATTAATTATTTTAATCATAATCTTTTAATACGTGGATATAGATTTTATCATCCGATTTGCAAAGATTTTTGGATAAGAAAAAGATGAACGCTTTAAGTGTTTCAGATGTTACTGATAATTAGTAACATTACATTTAAGTATATTTGTCACAAATTGTAATTTAATATAATAACATTTACTTGCTAAACAATGAAAGCAATTTTTTGGTAATCTAGTGATTTTAAATTCATATTACATAAATAATTCATATTCATAAATATCTTATGAAAAATAATTTTTTAAACAGGAATTTATTAATTATACAAAATTATTTATAACCAGCTTCTATCGCGATTTGTCAAATTATTAATATCACGTTTGCATTCTGTGATCTTTCAAGAAACAGAAAAAGTCGCGCAGATAAATGTCATAGGCAACACGTGGGAATTCGGTATATTTTTGCATTTAATCGTTCATTAAAATGCATGGGTCCCGCGTTAATTTCATAATATTTAAATTTAATTGCCGTGTTCGCTCAAATTGCGTAACAAATTGCGAAAAACTATAAATAACGAAAACTCAACTCAGCTTGTCCACAAGTAATATAAACGTAATAAAATTAAGTAATGTAAGGGATAACGTGTAAAAACAAGTGAATAATGGAAGTAAATGTCTAAAGCTATTTTACATTTCATTGTATTAATATATTAGATACACGCAATACGGAGACAATGAAACACTGTATTATATATTTTTCTGTTTTACTGATATTTACCGAATATCACATTTTCAGGTCTGCTGCGCGGCGGTTCTAGCAGCGCCGGCCGATAAGGAGAAGAGGGACATCTTGCCGGGTGATCCACGCTACGGAACCGACAATCATCAAGAGCATCAAGCGCATGACGAACATCACGAGCATCACGCGAACGAGAATGAGGTACAGATCTCGAAAGCCGCCGGCGGCCTCGTAGGTACTTACACGGTTCCAGACAACACAGAGGACCACTCGTTGCAGGTACAACCCCAACCGTCCTACGGACCACCCAACCATGTACCCAGCAAGCCTTTGGGAACTGATGAATTTGCGATCAATGATGCTGACAAAACTCCCGCCTCCATCCTCGTGCCAGCTACCTCCTACGGGATACCCGATAGCACTCAGGTGATCAAAATCTCGCCGAAATCGTTCAGTCATAGTGGATTTACCTGAAATATTATTTTGATAAAAGAGTAAAAATTGTAAAATTACTCATTCTCTACAGCGAATCTATTATAATTTATTAACGCAGGTACGGTATGCGTGAAAATTTATTATTTAATAAAAAAATCGTTGTGCTTAATTAAGATGTTTTCTGTCGTAGCTTTTCGGCGACTTTTTTGGACCCACCTTTGATGAGAAAACCGCTGCCCTAATCAAGGTATATACATCGATCATATTATCTCTCTACAATCATGAAACTTCAACTAACACAAGTTCGTAAATTGACTCACAAAATCCTGCGCTTTTTCCCTCTTTATTAATATCTTTCAAAATAATCAATCGGTAATCCCTCTTGCTCACTATTTGTTAAAATATAAATGACTGTTTCTGAGAGAACATAATGTGTTTTGACAGTCTGGAAATATCGTAAATAACGGGCCAAGAAATAAATGACCGTTAAAATTTTTCTCCGCGTTTTTAGAAATTTCGAGTAATATTTAGAAACTAGAGAATATTAATATTCTTATTATTTAAGGATACTAATTTATCAAAATATTAACTTGTATCATTAACTATAAATTTACATAATGATTAAGTCTCCATAAAAAATGGTAATTGCTAATCAACAAATACGACTACTTATCACGATATAATAGAAATAGATATAATTGAAATAGATAAATTAAACAAGCGAGAGAGCCTTTGGGTCCGAGCAAGATGTTGGTAGCCCAATAATTGTAATCTAAAATGTGAATTCATATACCGTTTTCCACCTTGTCCTGCGCGCCGGTTTCATAAAATAATTAATTCACAGTACTATTAAATTCAAAACATTTCTTAGCGCTACTTGCCACTTTCTATTTTCAGTACGAAGAACTTGTTAATGTCCCACAAACTTCGTACGGGACATTAACAAGTGTCGCGGTGAAGCTGCGACAATTAATGTGATTAAAATTTTGATCTGTTAAATAGCTACGCAGCGTACATTTATTTCTATCTTGCTCATTCATTCTTGTTACTCTAATTTCCTTTTAATCCTACGCCGAACTGTAGCTTTTCGGCATTAATAGAAGCACAAGCGATTTGCATTTTACTTGTGCTCGGGCTCATATTATTAGCGGAGATACCGATATACTTTTCATACAATTTTAGTGGTAGTCGTACCATTTTATAACTCGCACGTAAATATCGAATTCTCCATAGACGACCATCCAGGAAAGCCCGAAATTCGACACTGTGCACGTACACAAGTCCGCGACCCCCGAGGTCCATCATGACGTCCTGGAGAAATCAGCGGTCGTTCACAAGACGGAGCACACTCCGAAGTCCATCTCTCTTCCGCAAGCGAAGACGACGACATCTCATGTGCCCACTGAGATCCAAGGTGAGCGTCGATCTACCGAGAATTTACGACTTCCTTCGGCCGTGCCGCGCCCGTCGAGAATTTACGGCTCCTCTCCCAAATCTGTATTAGACTTGTAAAAACGGGCGTCAACACCGTCTGCACCGAGTTATATAAGACATTCGGCAGCGGATTTTCATAGCGGTTTGGCAACCTTGCTGTTCGAGATCGGTCGCCAAGAGTCACGTAGAAATATTCTAACGCTTGACTAATGTCGGGATGACATATGAAAGCACTTGTCACTGTCCGAGTGACATGCTCGCCTTTCATCGCGGATGAATGCAAATCTATGCTCGGCATGAATATTCATTATGTTACATAATCAAAGACAGTTTCTGCAATTACATTTGTTCACTTTTTACGCCCGATCGAAAAGAAATTTGTGTGTTTTTTAAAATTCCATTCTTAAAAATTCTCCGTCATGTCCAGCGCAGAACATAAATTTACGTAATGTTCGAAAATCAAAGTAAATAATTTAAAAAATAGATAAATAAGTAAATATTTACTGCTATTTATTTGTAATTAATTTGGTAAATTTGTAAATTCACGCCTAACTCAAATTTTCAGGAAAAATTGTTGGCAGTTAATTTCTTCTAACATCACATGTTCTCGTAAGAGAAGAAAATGAATTATATTATTGCTCCAAAATTTTATAACGATAAAATTCTGCGCGCAGGAAGTGAATTAGACAAATGTTCTGAAGATATTAGTAAGAGATATTTTCTCTGTTCCAGGTGTGTTTCAGCACGACATACCCACGTTTACTTCTGCTTTCGGCGGCTTCCCCAGCTACGTCTCGTACCCCTCGTACCCCTCGTACAGCAATATACCCGTGAAAACCTTGGATCATCATGTGCAAGTGAAAGTACCCCACCCGTACCACGTACCAGTGACCAAGCACGTCCAGGTCCCCGTTCCCGTCCCGCACACCGTCGAAGTCCCGAAACCCTACTACGTCCGCGTGCCCCAGCCTGTTCAGGTCACCGTGAATCGCCCGTACCCCGTGGAAGTGCCCCGCGCGGTGCCGTACCCCGTACATCACTACGTAAAAACCGCAGTCCCGACGATTGCTAATCAGCACCACCTGATACTGGATACCAAGGCCAGTCCGTTCCAGACTTTCTACGAGAACATCCAATCAACATTCCAAAACCCACCGTCTTTCCCAAATCCCTTCGAGAACATTGACCTGTCCTCTTACGTACCGTCCTTCCCCAATTTCATACCTTCCTTAGGCTCGTTTATTCCTTCCCCGCAGCCAGCCCCAGCCACGGCCGACCACGTTAACGTGTTCTCTTCGGGCGACTCGATTACGGTGGACAATCCGGTGCTGAAGACCAAGCCCACCGTCGTGCAACCGATCATCACGCATCACACCAAGACGCACACCAAGGGCTCCTCCACCGCGTGCGCCGGATGTATCGTCACCTCCGCAAGCAACAAGCAGAATCATGTGCAACCCACCGATGCCAACGGTGCCTACGTATACTAGGATACATACCTTGTAATGTAATGGACGTTGAATAGGCTACTGGAATTTATTAGTGGAATAATACATATTACGCCGAAGGATCGCTCCTTATTTCTGACGTGTCAAATTGAAATTGGAAAGTTTGTTTGCCCTTTTTTTTACCTTTATAACAGTACATTTTTATTAATTTAACTCTTGAATACATAAAAGGAGAATGTTTGAAAACTTGTATAGTTACTTTCCTGATGATACTCATACATTAAATCGAGCTGTTTGAAAGAACATCTTCTTCTTTTAAGCAATGAGGTATTACTAAAGACGGCCATTCCCGAATAAACGTTTATGTTTATCAAGTGGTTTTGGTAGTAATTAAAGAATATAAATAATATTGATTAATTATTGATTCAACGTTTTCTATTGTCAATGTAAATACCTGCACAATGAACCTATGATAAAGTATTAAATTCAAAATTTAGACTTTATGCTTAATAAGTAAGCATGTATATTTTTACGGTGCAATAATATTATATAGATTATATATTTCTGTGAAACTTTTTTCATGCCATAATTCTCATGGACGATCGAACACTGATGGTAATAATAAAAATTAATATTTTAACGTAAACTTCCACAAGACGCACTCGATCTTTAAGATACTCTGTCGGTGTTTTGAATAATTTCTTAGAAGAATCTTCAGCTATCCTCGACAATTTTTGTTTAAATTTTCCAAAAGCATATACCTATTTAATTTTTATACGCTTTTATTAGGGCATCACGCATCTGAGGTATAAATAGTTTATAATTGTACTTAATATTTAAATAAAACAACTTCCCAAAATTTCTATTTTGTTTTCCCTTTCAAGTGTTCCTACATAATTTTTTAATATATATTTCCTTTCTACGAAGCGTTTTGCCAGACTAATAAAGCCAAAATTGCAAAATATTTCTTTATTAATCTAACGTTCTATCTTTATTAGAAACCGATATGAATAAGTATCGCCATATATAAGCAAAATTATACGTCATTATCTTAATAATTTAAAAATGTATGATATACTCGTACAATTTTAAATTCTATACAATCGGACATTTGTGGACATTTAAATATTGGAGAGATGTCACGAAGATCAAAAGGATTACAGGAGTTAGAGAATATATTTTGTATGTAAATAAAGCTCTTTTATTACAAACATTATTCGATCACTCTTTGATTTCTCGATGATGGTAGGGTGTTCCCAGCGTATTAGTGCAAACGATCTTACGAAAATTGCATAGAAACAATTCATCGAGTACTATGTAACGAACGAATAATAATAATCAAGACGATTGCAATTCATGCACAAAACTCTGCAGGTTTATATTAATTTTCATTAATTTAGATTTAAAATAGAAATAGAGAGAGTACAAAAATTCTTATACATCTGTTAAATATTGTTCTTACATTATTGTAATTTTGAGTCTCACGAGATGAAAAATTAATTGTTTTAATTTAACGCTGGATTATTATCGCTTTGCACGTGAGCTTTACTGACTCCAGATCACAAAATAATAAACATTTGATTGATCAACGATATTAAATAACTTTGTATTTTGATCCGTTGAAGACGCAGTTGTTACCACACGTGACACTTTCTCGACGGGTTCATGTTCGATCCTGCGGGACAATTCCACGTGGCGCTAAATTCCTTGGAATTTTTTAGTACAGCTTGCACTCTGACGTGACGGGGGCAGTGAGAATCTCCCAGCATCCACTTCAGTGATGTAGCAGTATAAGATTCGCACCACAACTAAAATAGTGAAGTAATCCAATAAACATTTATTCACAACTTCGACAGAATTACAGACAATTTTTGTGAAAAATTTAATAATTTCAGTTTAATAAAGAGAAGATAATTAACGGAAAGTGGAAAGGCTTTCATGTTACGTGCCATATAACTATATAGAGGAAGAGTAATATAGACTCTAAATATGTATATGTAGAGTGATTAACGAAATCGAAGCGAAATTAATAGGATTCAGACGAGCCAAAGATACTAAATAACAATTACAATTTATTACTGTTAGATTTAATACCGATTGTAATTTACTGCTTGATCTCGCCGTCTTCAACTTTCATTTATCTCGAATGACCAAATCGGTATTTAAATGAACGCTATCTTTTCAGCCAAGGTTGCCCGTGTGAAGCGGGTTTCCATTCGATTCTTCTACAATAGCAAATGAAAAAAAACAAGCGAACTTAAATTTCGTTCGATAATATAAACCGATGATTACTGAATCACCTCAGAGTTATACGATTTAAAAATATCATTATATATTCCATAATGTAAATGAGTCAAACAGGTCCGGGAATTCCCAGCGTATTAGCCTTACTCCACTGTTTAAGAAAAACAACTATTTTTATCATTAAATTCCTCGCCAAATTTAGAATCTATTTTTTTGCCTCAAGTGTAAAACCCCGAGAAGAATGTAAAAATAAAGAGTGCAAATTAGAAATTTGCACATGGCTTCCTCATAGAGGAAGCTTTACGAGCGAAATCTAATTTTTCTCGATGTTTCTTGAAAGTGTGCAAATTAAAAATTTGCACATTGCTTCTTCATAATTGAAGCGTGCAAATAGGAAATTTGCACATTTCTTCCTCATCATTAAAGTAGGCAAATTAGAAATTTGCACATTGCTTCCATTGTTATGGCTTCCTTATAGAGGAAGCTTTAAGAGAGAAGTCTAACTTTACTTCGATGTTTCTTGAAAGTATTCAAATTAGAAATTTGCATATACTTATTTCGCTTTTAAAGCTTCCTCTATGAGGAAGCCATGTGCAAATTTCTAATTTGCACACTTTACTTTACTTTTTTTTCTAATTAGAAATTTGCACATTGCTTCCATTGTTATGGCTTCCTCATAGAGGAAGCTTTAAGAGCGAAATAAGAATATGCAAATTTCTAATTTGACTACTTTCAAGAAACATCGTAGTAAAGTTAGATTTCTCTCTTAAAGCTTCCTCTATGAGGAAGCCATAACAATGGAGGCAATGTGCAAATTTCTAATTTGCCTATTTTAATGATAAGGAAGAAATGTGCAAATTTCCAATTTGCACGCTTCAATTATGAGGAAGCGATGTGCAAATTTTTAATTTGCACACTTTCAAGAAACATCGAGAAAAATTAGATTTCGCTCGTAAAGCTTCCTCTATGAGGAAGCCATGTGCAAATTCTAATTTGCACACTTTACTTTACTTTACTTTACTTTTTTCTAATTATATATTATATCGTTCTTCAGTTTTTCTATCCAAATTTCATATATAATTCATTAAAATATGATTAATTAGTTCTTGAGTTAGACATTTGAAATTTTTGGAAATCATTATTAAAGAAAATTTGCGATAGTTACAGCAACCACAGACATTTCCAAAAAAAAATTAAAAATTAAAAACCTTTTACCGATCATCGCCATATTCAAAAGGTAGGCCTCTACCTATGTGTATTGAGACTTTTTGCTTCTACAAGTGTGTACATTTCTTCATTACATTTTGTGCCATCACTTCTGAAACACCCTGTATAATGAAGAAGATGGGCCTCTGCCTATGTTTATTGAGACTTTTTGCTTATACTAGTGTGTACATTTCACCATTACATTTTGTAGCATCACTATTGAAACACCCAGTATAATGAAAAAGTGTTCATGTACGGATTCCGTGAAATTTCAAACATCCATAACTCAAGAACTAATCAACCGAATATTAATCAATTTAATATGAAATAGGGGTAGAAAGACTGAAAAGTATAATAGAGTTAGAAATAGCCCGAAATCTCAAAATGTGCAAAAGTTAGAGCAACCACAGACATTTCTCAACAAATTCAAGATTTTTTCAAAAAGAAACCCATTTACCGATCATCGTAAAAATCAATACCAACCTTCCTTGAGTGATTCTCTACATTAAAAAAAAAATTAGGCCCGATATCTCAAAATTTGCGGAAGTTAGAGCAACCACGGACATTCAAATCCGTACATAAACACACACACATACACACATACACACATATACACAATACACACACACACATACGGACATTTTTTAAAAATGTAATTTTTGGACGTTTTAAAACATTTTAAACATATTCCCAAAGAAAACTGGAAAAAAAATTTTTTCACGAAAGCGAAGCTTCCTCTATAAGTTTTTATATATATTGACATATATATGTATAAAAACAGTAAATATTTTTTAAATCAATCAAACTGTTTACTAATTTCTTTTGCTAAATAAAAAATTAACTTTGGTCATTTCTGTATTACGTTCGGAAACTTCATAAAACTGAAGGATTTTAACTTAGACACGTCTAAATATGTTGATTGGAGCCTAACTATTATGTCGTAACTTTGGAATGTTGACTTACATGCGCGAAAGAAAGAAACAGTAACTGCTCATGCGTAAATTGCGTGAATCCTGGAAGTAGCGGTTCCCGACCGTGCCGAGTCTTCCATCTTTCGTAAGCGACGACGGCCTCGTGAAGGCCGCCATTATCGGCGATGTTCTCGCCCAAGGTCCGTTTGCCGTTGATGTAATCGTCGACCTATGCAAGACATATCATCGTACTCAGGTCGTTCAACTGTTTGGAACTAAGGCTAAGTTTGACATAAAAATTAATTCTTACATGAAGGGAATCAAGCCATAACTTATAGTACTCATGCAATAAAACACACACACACACACACACACACACACACACACACACACACACACACACACACACACACACACACACACACACACACACACACACACACACACACACACACACT